GACAGCCAAGCCAGGCCAGCCCATCCGCATATCGGCCGCCTCTTCAACCTATTGCCTCTGGCCTGTGGTCAGACTAGTTCGGTCACAGCCCTTAGGCCGTCACCTCTTGATAAGTGCTTTTGAAACTGGCTTCCCTAGCCAGGTAAGTATTTGATTGTGGTGAGCTGGGTGAGAGGTCACAAGAAGTGGAGGAGATTGGACCTGCTGGGCAGGGGATCTGCTGCTGCTGGGTGGCTGGAGTAGACTTCTCTGAGCTCCCGTTACCTCTCCCTTTGCCCTGGCAAAGAGCGGCCCCTGTGTTGACCATGAGCTACCTACGTCCCAGCTCTCAAACCTAAACAGAGTGGTAGGAGGCTGGGACTGGCTGCAGACAGGGAGCATCTCTGGCTGCGCCGGTGTTAGCGAGGGGGGTGGCAGAACGGGATGTCCTCGGCCTCGTGAGGAGCTGCCAGTGGGATGTCTCCTGTGGCCAGAGCAGCGGTTAAAAGGTTAAGCCAAGCAGGGCCTTGGCCGAGAGGCCCATCGCTGCCTCTTGAGGTTGTGAAATCGCAGTGGGAGTGACCCAGAAGTCAGGTCGGGTACCCACAATGCACAGCTCTCCCTTCCCCTGGCTCTGTGCCTAACCCAATTCCCGAGCCACGGGCCGTTCTGCTGAGGCTTTCCCACTTGTTGCCAAATACCCAACGTGACGTTTTAGCTCTTTAACAAATGAGCCTCAGCCCCGCAAAGCAGTTAACCAGGCCTGGGGTTGGGTGACAAGGCCAGGGGCTGGCCCTGCATAACATGCTCCTTTGCCCCACAGCACAGCCAGAGGGGGCTCTGTGCCGCTGCAGCGGGGGAGCTGCCCTGGTTCTTTCCTCAGCAACCTGGGCGGAGGAGGAGGGGCTCTGAGATACCCACCCTAACCGGGCTCAGTGTCCCCTCCCGCTCTGGCATTCGAGGAGCCATTCCTCCTCAGCCCGACCATAGAGTGCGCTGTGGGGGGCTATTCTGCCTAACCTGGAACATGTTCCATCCCCTTAGCCAGGCCATAGGGGGCGCTGTGCTGTCCACCCTCATTGGGTCACTGTACCTCCCTCATTCTGGCACTAGGGGGCGCTGTGCCTAGGATGCGCTGCATCACCCTCTGGGCCTGCCCTAGGGGGCGCTGTGCCTAACCTGGGATGCACTCTGTCACCCTCTGGGCCTGCACTAGGGGGCGCTGTGCCTAACCTGGGATGCACTCTGTCACCCTCTGGGCCTGCCCTAGGGGGCGCTGTGCCTAACCTGGGATGCACTCTGTCACCCTCTGGGCCTGCACTAGGGGGTGCTGTGCCTAACCTGGGATGCACTCTGTCACCCTCTGGGCCTGCGCTAGGGGGCGCTGTGCCTAACCTGGGATGCACTCTGTCACCCTCTGGGCCTGCACTAGGGGGCGCTGTGCTGCTGTCCCTAGCCTGGCACATGCTCTCTGTCTCCACAGCTTGGCACTATGGGCTGCTTGGCCTGGATTGGATAATCCAGTCCCCTCTGCTGTGTTCCTAGTTGGGCTGTTTAACCCCATGGCTAGCACATTAGCAACTGAATGGCCCAATGTCCGAGGACCTGGTCCCCCTTCTGCTTCCGCCTCCTGCATTCCCTGGGGGTGGAATTTAGCCCTGCGCCCCCCCACTGCTGGCCAGGAGCCAGACTAGTGTCCTGCTCGCTCGCCCTCCTGCACCCGTGCTGGGCTAATGCGAGGAGAAGTTTTGCTCTGTCCTGAAACTCAACAGCTCTGTCTGGGAGCCACACCGGGAGCAGTAGCATGCAGAGGAAGGGGAGCTGGTTTTCTTGCCCTTCCATGGACCTGCTTTCCCCACCTCCCTTACTGCCCTGCAGCTCCCTGGGATAAACCGCCCAGGGAAGGAGCCCAGCTGCTGGGCTGTCTGAAGATCTCGGAGGATTTAGAAAGAGCCTTTTCTCTGCACTGTCAGCGGCTCCCAAACCCGCCGGCTCAATCCTCCCGTGCCCTGGCCAGCCAGGTGGAAAAAATGCAACTTGCCGTTCCAGCTCGCGTGTCTGAGCCCAGCCGCTGCTTTAGAACAACTGTTAGCTTGTCTGCGAGGGACGCAGGGCCAGCCGTTGTGCTGGAGCGGGCCTCTCCGGCGTGAGATCGCCGGCCATCAGACCAGCGGGCCCTCTTGCCCCGCTGAAATCATCAGTGGGGCCCATCTATCCTAGTGTCTTCTTCACCCCCCCCCCCTCTGTGCTAGATCAGACCCCAGGGCTGGAGATGCTTCAAACCAGGACCGGGTAGAGCCTGGGATTTTCTGTTCTTCAGCCTCTGCGTCATGGTTTCTCCCCTTCCCCCAACCCCCCCGCCAAAATATTCCCAGCTGGCCTCACCCTATGCCTCTGCCCCCATCCCTTATGCCTCTGGGATTCCGTGGGGCGCAGCCTAGTCTACCCCTCCCCAAGGATCCAAGGTGTGTGCGCCAGTGAATCCAACCGATGGACAGGCTTAAGCAGCAGTGGTGCGAATCTCCGCCCGAGTCCTGCCAAGCAGAGACAGATGGACACCCCGGTTCTTCCTCCCCAGGGGCCCTCCTTCCAACTGGCCCTGGATCACAGCCGCCTGACTTTCCTCGCTCGGCAGCCAGATCTCGCCACCGTCATCCCAAGTCAATACCGATCAGTGAGCTCGGCTGGTCAAACAAGCCTTGTGTGTCTTGTCCTTGCGCCCCGGGCTAGGAGCCAAGCTGTGCAGGGTTGGGCTGGGGCGCTTGTTTGGATGGGAGACCTCTGAGGAAATCCCCCCCCCCCCCGGGGGATGTGGCTCAACAGATGGTGCTGGTCCCTCTAAGTCAGTGCTGACCCCAATGCCCCAGTGTGGCATTAGGGGTCACTGGGCTGCAAGCAGCCGGCTTGAGGTGCAAGCCAGTGCGGTGCTGGGGGCGCTGTGCTGCAGGGAATGGGGTGGGGGCGCTGTCCCCTCGCAGACAGCGCTGGCCCTAGAGTTAATTCCAGATGCAAAATGTAATGTGGGTAATGATTTTTTTCCCTCGCTAAATCCCTCCCTGCTCTCGTTCTGAGCTATGGGATTCTCCTTCGCTTCCTGTCCCAGTCAGTTGCTGGGCAGCTGTTAAATGACTGCTCCACCCCACCCCAGAGGGGGCTGCATTTCAGCGCTGGGCGAGTGACCCCCATGCTGCATCGCTGAGAGGTTGTTCCCCAGCTGCTCCACCCCAGAGGTGGCTGCATTTCAGCGCTGGGCGAGTGACCCCCCGTGCTGCATCGCTGTGAGGTTGTTCCCCAGCTGCCCCACCCCAGAGGTGGCTGCGTTTCAGTGCTGGGGTGAACAGTCCCTGTGCGGCGCTGCTGCACGGCTGCTAAACAACTGCCCCGCCCCACCCCAGAGGTGGCTGCACTACGGAGAGGGATGGCTGCCTACCCAAACAGTAGTTTAGCCACATGCTGCCCAAATGGCCCTGAAGCAGGGAGTCGACCGTACCGTCGCCCTCCCTGGCGTCCTCCCCACTTGGGTTTGCAGCAGCCTGGTGGCGTGTGAACATGGCTGAGCCCAGCCTGTCGCCGTGTTAAATATAGGGCCGGGGCTCTCACCGGGGGGATTAATGAAGCTCCTGATGCAGCTACTAAGCAAGGGTGGGATTACGGGCTTAAGCCGGTGCTGTGCGCAGCTCCCGCCCGTGGGACCAGCGGGGTCCGAGCTGAGGTTCGTGCAGCAGCTCTTGGGGAGGGAGGGGCCTGCCAGGGCATCTCTGCACACCAGCCACTGGGTGGGGAGGAGAGGGGATCTCTGATCCGGTGTGTCTCCAGTCTTGGGCTTCATCAGCCGGTACACTCAGCTTCCCCTCCCAATGCACCCTCCTCCCCAGGCGCGGCGGGGGATTACCCTTTCTGCTCACACCTGGGGTTCCCAGGCCTTCCCCGCCCTGCAACTCCCCCACTCCACCCTATCTGGGAGGGGGCGTTTCTGCTGCTTGGCCTAAGGCCCCCCCATCCTGTAGGACAACCAATTCCTGGAGTCAGGACGTGCAGGGGGAGCGTTGGCCTCTGCCCCTCCAGACAGCCGAGCCGATCGCGAATTAGCTCAGCTAAAGGATAACCATGGGGCAGGGAAGATCTTTGGTGCAGGTAGTTGAAGGGGCTGATGCCGAAGGAGGGGAGAGAGAGGCCCGGGGGTATCCCTGGGAGCAATGGGGGGACATGAAGAATGGGGCAATATCGAGTAAATGTCAGTGAAAGAATCTGGAGGGGAAGATGTATCCGGATGGGGAAATCGGCTCCCTGAGGGACGGGCTGGGGGCCCCTTTGCTGGGGACTTGTAAAACCAGGAATGGACGGAGCCCTGGAGAATAGGCTGTAGGGGCTGGGCCCTGATGGGGCATCTCCATCTCACGTAGGGGCTGGGCTGGATGGGTTGTCTCCATCTCACATGGGGATAGGCCCTGATGGGGCGTCTCCATCTCACTGGGGGCTGGGCCCTGATGGGGCGTCTCCATCTCACTGGGGGCTGGGCCCTGATGGGGCGTCTCCATCTCACTGGGGGATGGGCCCTGATGGGGCGTCTCCATCTCACTGGGGGATAGGCCCTGATGGGGCGTCTCCATCTCACTGGGGGCTGGGCCCTGATGGGGCGTCTCCATCTCACTAGGGGCTGGGCTGGATGGAGTGTCTCCATCTCACATGGGGATAGGCCCTGATGGGGCATCTCCATCTCACTGGGGGATGGGCTGGGTGGGCCCTGATGGGGCATCTCCATCTGATGGGCCCTGATGGGGTGTCTCCATGTCACTGGGAAGAGGCTGTAGGGAACGATCCCACCCTGGCTCCCCAAGTGGCGCTGAACCTGATGGCCACCCGATGGAGCTGCTCCTCTGTCCTTACTGGCTGGAGGCCTGGAGGATAGTCTGGAGGGAGCAATCCAGCCCGGGGTCCCAGGTGGGGCTTGACCAGTGGCAATCGTGACCCATTGCCGATATGCACTTGTACTTCACTGACTCCCCTTTCTGCCCCCCCAGGTCCATGGCCGTGGAGTGACACCTGAGGGATCGAGAGCACAAGCGAGCGGGGGGGCCTCTGTCTGTGAAGGATGCTGAAGAAGAGCAGCCTGGTTCTCTGGGGCGTGGTGCTGTTTGTGGCCTGGAACGCCCTGCTCCTTTTCTTCCTGTGGACCCGGCCCCCAGCCTTCGACGACCACAGCCACTTGACCGAGGAGGTCATCCGGCTGGCCCAGGACGCAGAGCTGGAGCTGGAGAACCAGAAGGACCTGCTGCGGCAGATCCACCGGTACAGCGCCCTCTGGAGCAAGAAGAGGAAGAAGGCGGAGGAGACGGGTCGGCTCCCGCCGCCCGCCGCCGCCTCCAACACTGGGGCTTTGCCCACCACAGAGGCCGCCCCGCGCCGGTCCCAGGCCTCCCCGGATGCGGTCCTGCCCGTGGTGGTGATCGCCTGTGACCGCAGCACGGTCCGTCGGTGCCTCGACAAGCTGCTGCACTACCGGCCGTCCCGGGAGCGCTTCCCCATCATCGTGAGCCAGGACTGCGGGCACGAGGAGACGGCCCGGGTCATCGCCTCCTACGGCGAGGCCGTCATGCACATCAAGCAGCCGGACCTGAGCGACATCCCGGTGCCCACGGACCACCGCAAGTTCCAGGGCTACTACAAGATCGCCCGACACTACCGCTGGGCCCTGAGCCAGGTTTTCCGCACCTTCCAGTACCAGGCGGCCATTGTGGTAGAGGATGACCTGGAAGTGGCTCCAGATTTCTTCGAGTACTTCCAGGCGGCCTTCCCGCTCCTGCTGGCTGACCCCAGCCTCTGGTGTGTCTCGGCCTGGAATGACAATGGCAAGGAGCAGATGGTGGAGGCTGGCCGGCCGGAGCTGCTCTACCGTACAGACTTCTTCCCCGGCCTGGGTTGGCTGCTGCTGTCGGAGCTGTGGGACGAGCTGGAGCCCAAGTGGCCCAGAGCCTTCTGGGACGACTGGCTGAGGCAGCCGGAGCAGCGGCGCAGCCGCTCCTGCATTAGGCCCGAGGTCTCCCGCACCATGACCTTCGGCCGCAAGGGCGTGAGCCACGGGCAGTTCTTCGACCAGTACCTGAAGTTCATCAAGCTCAACGACCGCTTCGTGCCTTTCACCCAGCTGGACCTCTCCTACCTCAAGAAGGAGGAGTATGAGCGCTCGTTCCTGCCCAAGGTCTACGACGCCCCAGAGCTGCGGGTGGAGGAGCTGCAGGGCAACCAGCGTCGGGAACTGGGCACCGTCCGCGTGCAGTACAGCAGCCGCGACTCCTTCAAGGCCTTCGCCAAGGCCCTGGGCGTTATGGATGATCTCAAGTCGGGGGTGCCCCGTGCCGGCTACCGCGGCATCGTCAGCTTTCTTTACCGCGGCCGGCGGGTCTACCTGGCACCCCCTTCTGACTGGACGGGCTATGACCCCAGTTGGAGTTAGCACCGTCTCTCACCGGACATTGACCCTTGAGCATGTTGGACCCATAAAGATCATGGAGCGGGTGGGCGGGGTGTGTGTGTGTGGGGCAGGGACTCAGACCTTGTATTTTTGTTTTCTGAGTGGCATTCGAGTGCATTCCGGGGTGGGGCAGGGTGTGTGTGTGTGTGTGTTTGTGCACTTAATACGGGGGGAGGGGAGGGGGCAGGATTATTGTGATGCCCCGATGTGGGGGGGCAGGGGACTGGGATGGGGCATGCTGAGGCTTTCCCCACTGCCCTCCCCCTCTGCACCCCCAGTGCCTATCCCCTTTCTGACATTGTGATCTCCCCTCTACCGTGTCCCTGGTGGTTTCTCCAGGGTGGGTGGGTGGGGTCAGAGCCAATGCTGAACCGAACTGATCGACCAGTGGCTACTTTCCCAGCCTCTGTGAGCTGCGGGGGAAGAATGGAGAGAGGGGGTTGACCACCTCATCCAGGGAGGACCTAATGGTGATGCCAGGACCTGCTTAGGACCTTTGGCAGTTCCCACCTCGCCATCCTTAGTTGGGGGCAGAGTGGGAGTGGGCAGGGGGTCACCTCTGGCTATAGCTGGAAGGGAACATTGGAGATGACGGGGCACCCTTGATGGTCCTCAAGGGCCCATCGTTAGCTGTAGGGGAGTTGTGCAGGGGCAGGGAGCTTTATGTCAATGATGACCTCTTTGGTGTCTCCATCGGACCATCTCTAGCATGGTTGGAGCATCAGAACCTTCTCGTCCTTTGACCTGTGCAGTGGTCCCCAAGCAGCCCTCTAGGTCACAGGTGTGTGAGGAGTTGTCCTGGCTTCTCTCTATCCAGCAACCTTACGTCTCCCCAACATTCCTCTGTTTGCAGTGGGTGTTCCACCACGGCAGTCCCTTCACTGTCCTTCATTGCCGCTTTTCTACACTGTGCACAGAGGAAGCTTGTTACGGAGCTGGGGCTCTGCAATCTGGCTCGTGTCACTCTCTCTGGCGAGGAAGGGAGAGACCCGAGCTTGCAGCCTGCCTTAATCCTCAGCGGGGGCCTCCATCCTTTCCCGGGTTGAAGTTCGGTTCAAAGTTGGCTCAGTCCCTGCCCGATGGTGGCTGATTCCCCTGCTGCCATGGTTGAGAGGACCATTGATGTAGCAGTGGGGAGAGACATGAGATAGCACCATGGAGGAGAACCCCAGGGGTGGTGGGACACAAGAAAAGGGGCTCTCTGATAACGAGCCCTGCCTTATCTATGGGGGTAGAGCCCCCTCTCCAGTCTCTTAGAGGTGCTGCTAAGCTGTTCAAGAGCCAGTTTGGGGAGGGAGAGTTACAGTTCAGACCTCATTTGGCCAAAACATAGACCACACCAAAGGGTAACTTTTCCCCCACTGTATTATTTTGCTGTATTGTCCTGTTTTTGTTTTAAATCCCCTTATATCTTCCCCAGTCTGGGAGGTGAGCCAGGGGAGGAGGGATACCAAACCGCCCATTGGCATCCTACATCACCCATGAAATTGCTTGGTGCCCTAGGGCAAGTTTGGCAAAGGATGGGTGGGCGCAGAAGCTTCCTGCCATCCAGTCCCTGTTGGTGAGGTCAGGCAGAGAGGAGCTCCCATGTCAACAGCCAAGGAGGAGATGGTCATTCCAAGAGAGTATTAAAGGGTCTGCAAATGTACTGTCTCCAAAGTGCCCCTTCCCTCCCAGCTCTGGTCGGCAATATCCAGAGCGCCTGAGGCTTCCTCAGAGTAGGGGTGCTTCAGTGTGTATGTAACTTTCCTCCCCTCCTTGGGCCAGGATGGGGGGAATCTATCTGAAGGAAGAATCTCTGGGAGAGGGAGGTCCATTTGTAGGTAGGATCTTCAATGGGATCCAGCCAGCTCTTCGGGGAGCCCTCCAGGTTGGGTCGGATCCCCGCCATTCTCCTGGGCAGGAACTGGGAGCTGGGCAGGCTCTTCCATCCCGCCTTGCCTGCGGCAATTCAAGTGAGCCCACCCCCATTCCATTTGCTCTGGGCTGTGCCACCCTCACCACACGTGGCTCTGAGGTAGGGCTTGCTGCCCCGTGCTGCCGAGAGGCCTTAGACTCTGGCTGACTTCAAGGTGAGGAAGACGGTCCAGCGAAACGAAGCCCCTGACTACGTTGTGGCCGATGGAGCTCCCCTCGCGAACCCTCCCTGCTCCTGGCCGAAGCAGTGTGAGGTTCTGGTGGAGGGAGTTTTCCCTCTGTGGGTTTGCAAGAGAGGAGTAGATACAACCAGCTGTGGTGCTCTTACCCTCTTGGAGAGGATCCCATCCCCTACCCCCAAACACTGAGGGTGCCTGGGCAGCCAGTTGCTCTGTTCAGCCTTGGACGGAGCGGGGTCTGCACTGAGGGGAGTTGGGATGGAAGCCCACCCTTTGTTCAAGGAGGTTGATTTAAATCAGTTTCCTTTTCTATAGCGGTTGCTCCCCCTACCATGGGAGTTGGGATTACTCCATGATTACCCTCTCTGCCTGCTGCCCCCTTCCCCCTGGAGGGGGGTGGTGAGAGATTGAACCACATGCCTGGACCAGTCTTGAAGCCATTCCTAGTGGAAGGGGTGGAGGAGAGGAAGAAATTTTGAGCAGGGGGGCTAGGGTGGAGAGGGGGAGAGAGGCTGTTTTTATGTCCAAATGTCATTCTGCGAAAGCAAACTTTAAGGTGCAGAAACTATTTTCCAGAATAAAATAAAAGCCAGACCTTTTTCGGCTCGACACGTCATTGCTCTCTATCTCCCTGGAATTTGCTTGGCCCTAGTTTGAATGTCCATAGCACCAGCCCTTCCTACAGTCATTCTTCACTGACTGCCCCCTGAAATGGGGCAGATAAGAGGAGCACAGGCAATGCATGGCCAATGGGAATACTCTATTGAGACAGACAAGTGTTAGTTATTGTTTGTGTTGAGTAGTGCCTGGGAGCCTCTCTCCTGGCTCAGGACTCTGCGGTGCTAGGTGCTGCACAAACACAAAGCAAAGGAATGCTCCCTGCTCCAGGAACTGATTCCCCTTCCCGCCCTCGGCCCCTCCCACATGGAATCCTTGAAGGGCGTAGAACAAATTGTATTGTTGTCGTTTATCTCTTAAATTGGGCCAACGTTCCCAGATGTAACTCCTGCTCCCTCCCTGTACCCCTGATGTTAGGACTATTTGTTTTACAGTAGCACATGGAGGCTACAGCTGAGATCAGGGCCCCGTTGTGCCGGGCGCTGCACAGACACACATGGGAGAGAGAATCCCTGCCCCAGCTGAGATCAGGGCCACGTTGTGCCAGGCGCTGCACAGACACACAGCGAGAGACGGTCCCTGCCCCAGCTGAGATCAGGGCCCCGTTGTGCTGGGCGCTGCACAGACACACATGGGAGAGAGAATCCCTGCCCCAGCTGAGATCAGGGCCCCGTTGTGCCGGGCGCTGCACAGACACACATGGGAGAGAGAATCCCTGCCCCAGCTGAGATCAGGGCCACGTTGTGCCAGGCGCTGCACAGACACACAGCGAGAGACGGTCCCTGCCCCAGCTGAGATCAGGGCCCCGTTGTGCTGGGCGCTGCACAGACACACAGAGAGAGACAGGCCCTGCCCCAGCTGAGATCAGGGCCCCGTTGTGCTGGGCGCTGCACAGACACGCAGGGAGAGACAGGCCCTGCCCCAGCTGAGATCAGGGCCCTGTTGTGCCCGGCTCTGCACAGACACACAGGAAGAGACAGTCCCTGCCCCCAAACTAGGCAAACCAGCCAAAGGAAGGGTGGTGGTTGTCCCAAGTTTGCTGATGTACAGAACGATGGAGTGATTTGCACAAGGAGCCAGAAGTTGAACCCAGCCATCCTGAGCCCCTGTCTAGGGCCCGAATCACAGGCCCCTTCATTTCTTCTCCTACTGGTTCCAGGGCCAATGCCCCCGGGGCAGGGGAGTGCCATGGGACTTGGCATGTCTGGCCTTGTACCCCCTGGTGACAAGTGTCTCCAGATCTGCTTCCTGCCCCAGCGGCTATGCTCTCCCTTGTCCTTTGAAGAACTAGAGAATCAGTCTATATACAGCCCCCCAGGCCATGCAAAGTCAGTCCATATAAAGTACGGCAGTCAATTAATAGCAGTTAACTTGAGCGATTAATTTGTTTTGTGTTATCTCGATTAAAAAATTACTTACAATTAATCAGTTTTAATCGTACTGTTAAACAATCATCGCAATAATACCAATTGAAATGTATTATAAATATTTTGGGAGGTTTTTCTACATTTTCAAATATATTGATTTCAATTACAACACAGAATACAAAGTGTCCAGTGCTCACTGTATCTGATTACAAATATTTGCACTGTCGAAAAGATAAACGACAGAAATAGTATGTTTCGATTCACCTCGTGCAAGCACTGCAGTGCGATCTCTTTATCGTGAAAGTGCAACTTACAAATGTAGAATTATTTTTCACATGACTGCACTCAAAAACAAAACAATGTAAAACTTTAGCGCCTACAAGTCCACTCAGTCCTACTTCTTGTTCAGCCAATCGCCAAGACAAACAAGTTTGTTTATATACACGGGAGATAAGGCTGCCCGCTTCTTGTTTGCAGCGTCACTTGAAAGTAAGAACAGGCGTTCGCATGGCACTTTTGTAGCCGACATTGCAAGGTATTTATGTGCCAGATGCGCTAAACATTCACATATCCCTTCATAAGGTCCAAAAATCTTTATAACACATTTCCATTGGGATTCTATGATTGCGTAACAGTGCGAGTAAAACGGCGATGAATTTTTGAAATCTCGCGATTAATCGTGATTATCTTTTTTAATCGTTTGACAACCGTAATATAACGCATAGCAGCCCTCAGCCACTGAGTCAGTCCATATGAAACCACCAACATCCTAGTCCTTAGGTTCTGCTGCCACCTTGTGGCCATTCCCAGTCATTCTAGGACCTCAAATCCTCATTTGTCTTTTCTCTTCCATTCTCCTTCCCCCCTTTCCCCCCATCACAACAGTTTGAAACATGGGCGATGGGTGAACCACCTTCAGGGAGGCTAGCCCGCTGGCCCCGCCCCTTCCACCTACCCTGGGCGAGGAGCTGGGGTGCTCGAGATTAGCCCCTGGACCGTTTCCCTGCCCCCCGGGGCGCGCTGCCCAGGGCAGACGGAGGGTCTCGGGCTCCCCACAGCAGCCCAGGCTTCCTGGGTGGCTCTTACTGCAGCCCAGCTGTCTGGCTTGACCAGGGATTGGGGCTAGGGTGGCCAGACAGCAAGTGTGAAAAATCAGGACAGGGGGTGGGGGGTAATAGGAGCCTATATATGAGAAAAAGACCCCAAAATCGGGACTGTCCCTATAAAATCAGGACATCTGGTCACCCTACGTGGGGCCTGGGGGGTGGACAGAGGAGGAGCAGGGCCTCGTGGGGGGGGGGGGGCGCGCTAAGGTCCACCTCAGCCCCGCCCACAGGGAACTGGCTGGCACCATCCCTGAGCACGTGGGGAGCAGAGCCACGGGGAAGCCGCGACAAATGCTGTCCCGGAGTCATTCAACCCAGGACCGGGACTTGAACTCTGTATTTCAGGACTGACCTTCACCCAGTTCAGGACCGACGTCCATGCTCACGGCAGGTCCCCTATCTTAGGGGTGAGGGAAGGGTAAGTGGAGTCTCCATCTGAGCAGCCCGGGGGAGGCGTATTCATGTGCACTGTGGAACGACTTTTCAATGATCACGCATGCATTGGCAGAGGAGCAGAGTCGGGTTGCCACCTTGGGCTACTAAAACCTGGGACACGCAGGCCCCCACACCAGCCCCAGCCCCTCACCCCCCACAGCCACCAGCACTCAAGCTCCAGCCCCTCCTACTGTTGCCCCGAGTCCCAGGCCCCCTTGGGCCACTTGCCCCCTCATAAAGGTGGGGGGCCCAGGGGCAGTCTGGCCCTGTACTTCCCCAGCCTTCTGGCTACCACCCTCACCCGCATGGGCAGCCTTGGAAGGATTCGATTTTTACGGGTAAACATTGAATCGCCGCATGCACAACCCGAGGCAAAAATATTTCCTTCGCTAACCATCGAAATTTACGGACAGGCAAAGTAAGAAAAATTCTGCTTGAGAACCTCTGAGTTTGCTTTAAGGCTCCTGACTAGGACGGCTTTACCACGGGCGGCTGACCGTTTGTGTTTTAACGCTTAGACAGCTTGAATGACAATTTAAATGGATGAAAATTTGAAAAAGCCTTAAAATCCAGAATTTTGCACAAGAGTGAATGTTTAAATATATAAACTGCAGCCCTAGATCGGGATAACTACATCTCTCCGGGGTGTGAAAAACCCACAGTCAGTGGCGGATTATCCAATGGGCCCACGGGGCCTGTGCCCAGGGGCCCCGGCCAATTGGGGGGGCCCAGAAAAATGGGCACCCCAGCAGAAATCCACTGCAGGGCAGGGGAAGCCCGGAACTCTGGCAGAAGCTGTGGGGTGGGCAGGGGAAGCCCCGGGGCCCCGATCCAGGGCCCCAGCAGAAGCTAGGGTGACCAGATGTCCCGATTTTATAGGGACAGTCCTGATTTTTGGGTCTTTTTCTTATATAGGCTCCTATTCCCCCCACCCCCTGTCCCGATTTTTCACACTTGCTGTCTGGTCACCCTAGCAGAAGCACCGGGAGGCCGGGGTGGGCAAAGACCCAGTGCCCCAATCCCGGGCCTTGGCAGAAGCGCGGGGTGCTGGGGGAAGCCCCAGTACCCGGACCCCAGCTCCGGCCCCGGGACTGGAGAAGCTCTGGCTCCCTGCTGTGGCCTCAGGGCTGGGGGAGCTCTCGCTCCCTGCTGTGGCCCCCGGGCCCTGGTCCGGGGGGGACAGAGCTTCTCCGGTCTTGGGACCGCAGTGGGGTGGGGGGCAGAAAGGAGCCAACAGGTTGCAGGCTGCAGTGGGTGGGGGCTGAAAAGGGGGCAGGGGCACAGGCAGAAGGGGTGGGAAGGGGCCCCCCACTTGCTCTGGCCCAGGGCCCCGGGAAACCTTAATCCGCCTCTGCCCACAGCAGAAAATACCCCTGGAGAATGTAGGTGAGCACTGCTTAGAATTAAGATGATGATGCTATTGGGCAGAGCGGAGGGGTGGGGAGGGGGTGCTAAGAAAACAGGCCTTTATTTTTTGAAGTACAATGTTTGCAACCCTGCCTAGGGCTTGCCTCTGCTTTAGTCTTTCCCAGCCGCCACCAGAGGGCCCTGGCTGTGTGGATGGGAGGGCCCCGCTTTCTGTCTCTCTCCCTTTAATACTATATTGAGCTTCCTGGGTCAGACCCATGCGCCGGGTTGCTGCCTCCTCCATTGTGATCTGGGAGCCTGCACCCAGCAGCGGCTGCTGAGCGGGGAGAGACCTTCAGCCAGGTCCCCCCTGTGCCCAGCCCGGGTGGGGACTTTCTCCGGTGCCTGGAACCAACCCCCTGAGCTGGATCCTGCAGGTGATGGGGAGACCTGGGGGAAAGGGCTGGGGCCGGGCAGGAAAGTGACTCTGCCCTGGGGGCTGGACCTAGGGGTGCTGCTGCCACACCCCCTGGCTTGAAGGGGTTCCCATCATATCCAGGGTTTACAGCCCCCCACTGTACAGATTGTTCCCACACCCCTGGGACCCGCTGCCCTTGGGGACCATGTCCCGCTTTGCTTCTGCGCTTTTCTAGCATTGGGCTCAGAGACTCTATTACTGGGGGGAGGTTAGTCCCAGTGATGGGGCTGGGTTGGCCCTGGGATAAAGTGACCCCGAGTTTTCCCAGCCTGGCAGAGCCGGGGTAGCCAATTCTACATAGATATTTTTGGTCAAGGTCCAGATTTCTTGGTCGAGGCGTCATTAAAGTCCAGAGTCCCATTTTTTCACACCACAATCACCAGAGACTGATGAAGGTCTCCTGGGGATGCCGGGCCAGAGCATTGTGGGGGGGCGGTGCCAGAACCGTGGCCTGCCCCACCCTTCCACCTGCCGCCCTGCCCACAGCCCCACCCTGTTCGGCCCCTTCCCCGTGGTCCCGCCCCCCCCCCGCTCGATCTTTACCCCCTCTCCCCGCTGTGGTGCTGAGACCAGAGAAGCTCTTCCCGTTTCGGGGCCGCAGCGGGGGAAGGTTTTTCCAGGGCCCCCAAATTGGCTGGGGAGGGGGTCGGGATTCCTGTCCCTGGACCCTGCTGAGGGCGCCATCTCCGTACCAGCCTCTGGCTAGTGGGTGTGTGATAACCGGGAAGGCCCCTGCTCTCCTCCATCCGCTGGGGTGGACAAGGAGCTCCCACCTTCTCCCCATCCTGAAGCTTCCCGGCAGCTCTGCGCAGGGTGAGGGTGGGATTCTGTTACTCAGTGCCCCCCCCCCCCCCAACTCCCCAGAGCTTCCATTTTATCGGCCTTCCTCCCCCATGAATAGTGGGATTGTGGCTGGGGCAGCAGGTGCTGAGTGCGGGACTCTTGTTGTTTCAGGTGCCGGTGAGCTTCGAGGAGGTGGCTGTGTATTTCACCCAGGGGCAGGGGGCTCCGCTGGACCCGCTCAGAGAGCCCTCTACAGGGACGTCATGCAGGAGAACTATGAGATGGTGACCTCGCTGGGTAAGGGATTCCCGTCCCCTCGGTTATTAGAAGCTGCGCTGTGGGGGTCTGTGATGTGGCCAGTTCACCTTCTTCTCAGGTTCTTCCCTGGTCCATTAAATTTCAGGGGACTGGGTCCCATAATCCCAGATTCAGAGAGAAATTTTCATCCGCACGCCCCCACCCCCATTAGCCATCTGCTTTTCCCCAGGGGTTCAGTGACCATGTTCCTGTCCGTTCAGATCCCATGTCCCCCCAGCGCATCACAGGGTCGTGTTAAAATCAATGTTCTTTGTGACAAAGGCTCTACCCATGGATGGGACACCCTGATCTCGTCTGATTTCACTCCCCTCTCTGACTTGACTTTCTCACTGTCGCCACAGCAGGTGGAGTTCAGAGACTCGACCGACTCTCTTAGAATCCCTAAACTCTTTGGTGCCGAAATTCGGCAGCGGGAGCTGGCTCTTCAGAAACTTCCAGCCATGTGTCTCTTGCTACTCGGGCTCCAGGCCAAGGTGAAACTTGGCAACAGGGGCTGACTCGAAGCAGGAATCCTTCATTTCCTAGCTGCATAGCTTATAAGGTCAGACGGGACCTCTGTGATCAACTTGTCTGATACCCCACTACACACAAGCCATAGCAGGGGCGGCAGATACTGCCTAATAGTGGGAGGACCACAAGGCCCCGCCTCCTTCGTGACCCCACCTCTGCCGCCTTCTTCCCCCCGAAGCCACGCCCCCAGCCAAGTCGGAAGGTGGCCCCGCCCCACCCCGACCCACTTCCCTGCCTCCCCAGACTCCCAGCCCATTGGCGGGTCCGTGGCTCCGCACAGCTGCCCGTATGGCTCTTACCCCGACCCGGTTCCTGCTTCTGGCTGGAGGGTGGGGCCTTGGGGGCCAAAGAGCCACAACCAGGCCATGGTAGGATCCGCTGGGGCAGCTGTGAAGAGCCGCGAGCCACCATCTGCCCTGGGCAGCGGGCCCGGGGGCAGAGACACGGGCTGGAGGCTGCTCTCAGGGCCCCCCTGCCCCGGGCAGATGGAGGATCCCCGCCTCCCCAAAGCTGCCCTGGCTCCCGGGCCGCTCTTACCTGGGCCGGGCTCCAGCTTCCGGCCTGGCCAGGGGGCAGGGCCTTGGGGGGAAGAAGAGGGGCAGGGGCCTGGCCCTTGGAGAAAAGTGACCGGACCATGGCCCCTTCCCCCGCATCCCCCGTTCTGACGCCCCTGGGCCATAGGACTTTCCTGAGGCACTTACTGTTTGAGTTAGAACAGAGCTTTCAGAACAACAACCTGGCTTGATTTAAAAATGTCCCGTTATGGAGAACCCGCACCACTCTCGGTAAGTTGTTGCAGGGGTTAATTCCCTTCACCGTTAAAATATTGCACCGTTTTTCAAATCCTTTGATTGTTCTTAAGGCTCTTCTCTGAACTCGCCCCATATTATCCGTATTCTTGGACACCAGAACTGGACCCAATATTCTAGCCGAGGTCGCATTGTGGTAAATTCAGAGGTAAAATAACAACCTCTCTGCTCCACTCGAGATTCCCCTGTTTATGCCTCCAAGCATCTCGTTAGTCCTTTAAGTCACTGCGTCGCGCTGGGAGCTCATGTTTAGCTGATTATCCACCATGACACCCAAATCGACGTCAGAATTACTGCCTCCTAGGATTGAGTCCCCCAGCCTTTAAGTATGGCCAGTGTTCTCTGTTCCTAGTTGTATACATTTACATATAGCCGTGTTGAACCCCCTATTGTTTGCTTGGCGCCCAGTTCGCCAAGTGGTCCCGATCGCTCTGCGTCAGTGACCTGCTCTCTTCATTATTTACCACTCCCCCAGTTTTTGTGTCATCGGCAAACTTTATTAGTGATGATTTGATGTTTTCTTCCAGGTCGTTAATAAGGCCAAGAACTGACAGGAAACACACTCACTTGATGGCGATTCCCTGTTTAAAATTTGGAGACCCATCAGTGAGCCAGCTTTAAAACCATTCATGTGTGCCATGTTCATTTGATATCATTCTAGTTTTTTAATCAAAATGTCATGTGGGCAGGGCCGGCTCTAGGTTTTTTGCTGCCCCAAGCAAAAAAATTTTTGGCTGCCCCCCCACCCCAGCCCTGGGCTCTCACCCCACCCCCACCAGTGCCCTCCCCCACCCGCACCCCCCTGCCGCCCCAACCCTGGGCTCTCTCTTCCCACACGCACCCCCTGCCGCCCCAGCCCTGGGCTCCCCCACACCAGTGCTGACTCCGCCCGTTCCCCACTCGCCTCCAGCCGGTCTGGCACTGGCAGGGTCGGGGTAAGCAGCGGGGTTCCCGGACCGCGCCTCAGCCCAGGGTCCCTCGAGCCAGGGCACCCGCCTCCAGGACTGGCCGGGACCCAGGAGGGCAGAGCCGGGGGACCGCCCCGGCAGGGGGCTGAGGAGCCGGGGTAGGGTAGCCCCAGAGAGAGTCGAGCCCCAGAGAGTGGGACACACCCAGTCCCTGGGTGGCTCAGTTGTGCCGCTGGGGGGCAGCCCCCAGCCCGAGTCTCCCCTGCTCGGAGCCTGCCCGGCCCAGCCACAAGGTGCGGGCGCTGCTCCCCCACGGCTGCTGCCAGGGCCAGCTCTAGGCTTTTGCCATCCGAAGAAAAAAAAAAAAAAAAAAGATGGCTGGAATGCCACCCCTGAAAATGTGCCGCCCCAAGCACATGCCTGGTTTGCTGGTGCCTAGAGCCAGCCCTGCATGTGGTAGCAAGTCATGCGCCTTCCAGAAGTCTAAGTATAATTCCATCAACACTAGTACCTTTTCAACTAGGGTTGCCAACCTTCCAGGATTGTCCTGGAGGCTCCAGGAATTAAAGATTAATCTTTAATTGAAGATTATATCATGTGCTGAAACCTCCAGGAATAGGTCCAACCAAAATTGGCAACCCTATTTTCAACCAAACATGTAATCTCGTCAAAGAAAGATATCAAGTTTGTTGGACGGGATCTATTTTCCATAAATACACGTTGATTGGCATTAATTATGTTACCCTTCTTTGATTCTTTATTAATCAAGTATTGTATCAGCCTCTCCATTATGTTGCCCAGGATTGATGTCAAACTGACAGGCCTATGATTACCTGAGTCATCCCATTTACCCTTTTTAAATGTTGGCACAACATTAGCTTTCTTCCAGTCTTCTGGAAATTCCTTGGTTTTCCAAGGCTTATTGAAAATCAACATTTATGATCCAGTGAGCTCCTCAGCCAGTTCTTTTAAACTCTTGGATGCAAGTTGTCTGGTCCTGCAGATTTAAAAATGTGTAACTTTAGTAGCTGCTGTTTAACATCCTCCTGAGATACTCATGAAATGGAAAGAGTATCATTATATAATAGACTACATTATCTGTCCCCCCCCACCAGGTATGGAACAGAAATATTTGTTGAACACTTCTGCCTCATCTGCATTATTATAGAAAATTCTACCATTTCCCTCTTGCAGTACCATTGTTAGGATTCTTTTTGTTCCTAATGGACTTAAAAAATTTCTTATTGTCCTTCACTCCGCTAGCCATAGAGTTTGTCTTTTGTCTCTTTGCTTTCCTTATCAATTTTCTACAATATCTAGTGTCTGATTAATATTAGTTACTATTAACGTCTCCTTTCTACCATTTTTTGTATATCTATATATTTAAATTTTGATAGCGGTATTCACTTCCTCTCTAAGCCAGTTCATTTTTTTAACCAATACCTCCTTCTTCCTGGATTGTGGGGTCATAGCTTTTTGAGTATCAAGTTCTTAAACAATTCCCAATTGTCATTCAAATTTTTCAGCTTAAATTCTTCCTCCCAGCTGATCTGGCTCATAATTGTCTTCAGATTTGCCAAACTGGATCAACTATATAAATGTGATCAAGTCGTGATCCCTGGTACCTAAGTTACCATTGATTTTTAGTTCTGTGGTTAGGTCCTGTTTGAGCGAGGTAATTGCCATCTATAATGTTTAGAGATTTCAAGGACATTTTAGCACTGGTGGCATGAGACCTCCAGCGTATATCACTCAAACTGAAGTCCCCCATGATCACACAGCTTTTTTCCCCCTATCCTTTATAGATAGGTTCTTAAGGAGCCGGTCATCCTGTTCCTTAGTGAAATTTGAGGGTCTGTAGCAGATACCAACTAATGCCCCATCTTGTGCTTTATCTGTTAGGACATTGATCCATAACCATTGAAGATCATTTTCTTCCAAATCATCAGTGACGCCACTGGCTCCCCACTTTTGCCCACTCTGTCCTTCCTAGATAGGTTATAACCATTTATTTTAACCTTCCAGTCATGGGAATCGTCCCACCAGGGATCCGTAAGATCAGCGATTTATGCTCAGAAATGAGTCATTCCAATTCCTCTTGTTTCTTCCCCAGGTTCCTAACACTGGCGTATGGGCAATTCAAGAATTTCTTCTCTTCGTGTCCTTTGCGTCCTTGTTTAATTTTGTTCCCACCATTTTGATTTTGTGCTGAGTGCTCTGAATGTTCCTCTTTTTACCCGGCCCTTTTGTTATTAGTTTAACGCCCTCTTAATTACCGTAGCCAGCCAGTCCCTGGGAAGATTGGTCCCTCTTCTACTGAGGCCTTCCAAATGATACAGCCCCCTCTTCACATAAAAGGTGGACCAATGTCCCCAAACCCCCAAACTCTCCACCTTATGCCCTTTATCTAGCCAGTGATTCACTTCCAGAATCTATTGCCTTCTGTCTTCCTTTTCCCATGGGCCAGGAAGGATCTCAGAGAAGATCGCTTGGACATTCCTCTTCTTCTGCACTCTGAGTTCCCTGACGTCATCTACTATCTGCAGGATATCCCACGATGCAGTGTATACCACAGTTGTTTTGTTCAGGCTAGAATATAGGAACTGCTCATTCCTGGCTATGGGCGGTGTTCCTTCGAGGGAGCTCACAATGCAACTAGGCTGCTTCAGTATTTGGATATCAATTAAGGATTCATTACTAGAATTGGTCTGATAACTGCTGAGCTGGGTGTGTGCAGGCGTAGGTTCATTAGCATCTGGAGCAGAGATCCCCCATGATGCAGTGCTTCCCTGCTTTTCTGGTCCCAGAGTTCCATGCGGTTCTTGCCTTGGAATCTCTGGTCTCCAGTCTGTATGCTAATGGAGATGCCTCCCTGTCCCATCTTCGATGCAAATGAGGCTAGGGGAATTGCCTTAATCCTATCACCCTTGTCCAGAGGGGTTTAGGGGTGTCTTCCACGGCCTTTTCATTGCTTTTTGTAAGTCTTTCTTCTGACTGGCTTTGGTTCAAGCAGAGGCTGGGGAGTGTGGGTGTCCTTCGTGAGTCAGACAGGCTGGATACTGCGCCCTGGTTCCCCAAGAACACAGAGCTGACAGGTAACAGATGAGGCAGAATAACTCAGTTGTAATGGCTCACGGAGCACCGGGGACCCACTTCAGAGAAGTTAAAACGACAGATGGGTTAGAAATGTTACCTGTCTCAATGTCCCCAGCAGTTATCCTCCTGTGTTCCCTCTCTTTGCAGTTCCCCTTTTGCCTGGCACAGGGAACGACTCGCGTCCGGATTCTCTCTCTGTCCCAGCAGCTGGCAAAATGGTGAGTGAGAACGGGGAGGAGAATCCACAGCAGGAAGGCCTTGGGCAAGTGGAACCGTGCGGAGTGTTATCGGCGACATCAGAAAGGAACTTTCCCCAGCGTCACGGGTGGGGAAAGGACTCTGGAAGTCAATGCGGGGCAGAGAGGCAGCTGGGAAACCCGCCAAGGGAGAACGTTGTTCAATCCATTCACCGTGCGGGAGGATGCAGCGATCTCAAGGAAACCGCATCCCGGCCGAGACTCCACAACGGAGAGAGAGACAACACGTGCGTGGAGTGCGGGAAAAGCTTTCATTGGCGCTCGTACCTTATTAGACATCAGAGAACCCACACGGGGGAGAAATCCTATAAATGCCTCGACTGTGGGAAAAGTTTCAGTCAGAGCTCGCTTCTCATTAGACATCAGCGAACCCACACGGGAGAAAGACCCTATAAGTGCCTCGAATGTGGGAAAAGTTTTAGTGACAACTCGCACCTCATCGCCCATCACAGAATCCACACGGGCGAGAGGCCCTACAAATGCCTTGAGTGCGGGAAAAGTTTCATCCAGAGCTCCGTTCTTGTGGCCCATCAGAGAATCCACACGGGGGAAAGACCCTATAAATGCCCCGACTGTGGGGAAAGCTTCAGTCGGACCTCAGAGCTCATTGTGCATCACAGAATCCACACGGGCGAGGAACCCTACAAATGCCTGGATTGCGGGAAGACTTTCAATCGGAACTCCAACTTCGTGGTACATCAGCGACTGCACACGGGGGAGAGGCCGTGTAAATGCCGGCACTGTGGGAAACGCTTCAGGCAGAGCTCCAACCTGATTGCGCATCAGAGAATCCACACGGGAGAGAAGCCCTACAACTGCCGAGAATGTGGGAAAAGCTTCATTCAGAGCTCCCAGCTCATTACCCATCAGAGACTGCACAGGGGGGAGAAACCCTACAAATGCTCGGACTGTGGGAAAGGTTTCAACCTGAGCTCCAGCCTCATTAGACATCAGGGAATCCACACGGGAGAGAAACCCTATTACTGCCTTCACTGTGGGAAAAGCTTCGGCCAGAGCTCCCAGCTCATCGTGCACCAGAGAATCCACACGGCAGAAGCATCAGCTTGGGTCAGTTTGCGCCAGGCATCAGCAAATGCACCCAGGGAAGAGACCTCTTAAAGGTCGTTACCGTGGGAAAAGCTCCGAGCAGAGCTAACGCCATGTTGGACATCAGACTCTCCACCCAGGATTGAAATTTGGGGATCATGGGAGAAGGGTTAGAGAGGTGCTGCCCTATATCATTACCCCTCTGAGAGGCACTGATTTCCATAACATCCCACTGTAGGACACCTAAAAAAGCTTCAAGCCCTAGGAATCTCCCCTCAAAGCCAGCCCCATTGGCCTGTGACAGTTCCGCTCGACTAGGAATTAGGCACAAGTAGCACATTTCTCCTGTCCCGGACCGAACCTCCAACGCATTTACTCGTCTAGACCGACTGTGAGTGTCTCATTTCGCAATAGTCCTCACCGTTAGCAGAGTGATTGTCAGAGTCGCTGAGTTCTTCCTTTGGGGACCAGCGCTGGGTTTGCAATGGCACCAACCTGCTTGCTCTTCTCCACCCCTTCCTTCCGTGTGAGTGGTGGGTGGGGCCCCAGGGCAGAGAGGCCAAGTGGGGGCGGGGCCTTGGGGTGGAGAGCAGGTGGGCCTCAGGTGGCAGGGGGAAGAAGAGGCCAAGCAGGGGCAGGGCCTCAAGGCAGAGAGACCAAGTGGGGGCAGGGCCTTGGGGAAGAGCGCCAGCAGGGCTCGGGGGGAAAAGGCCAGGTGGGGGTGGGGCCTCAGAGGAAGAGGCCAGGTGGGGCAGGGCCTTGGGGAGGGAAGAGGCCAGGTGGGGGCGGGGCCTCAGGGGAAGAGGCCAGGTGGGGCAGGGCCTTGGGGAGGGAAGAGGCCAGGTGGGGGCGGGGCCTCGGGTGGAGTGGCAGACAGGACCACAGTCTGGGTGCTGGGGTCCCAAAAAGATGAATCCGACCCTGTTGGCAACAGATTGTCACATTCCTGGTTCTTCTCACTGTGCTGTAGGTTGTGCCGAAGAAGCTGCCGGCTCTGTTTGCTTATAGAATGAAAGAGGCGATTCTCAAAGAGCTCGAACAGGGGAGAGAAAAACATGGCGGTGAAGCCTCCATGTTACTTGGGGGTAAGGGGGTGCGTTACAGCGATTCCCCTCCTTCGCCCGTCACCCTGGTGGTCTCCCCTCATGACAGCAGCAGCTGTCCAAGCCATGGAGAGTTTATCTCCCCCGTTCTACCCTTACGCCTGTCACATGACTCAGTGATCTCAGCTCCCTGGGCTTGGGTATTGCTCTTTGAGATGCTGTGATCCTATGTCATTGGAGCTGAAATTGTCACGATACTAGTGTATCCCAAATCCAATGTGATCCTTCTGGCCTTAAACCCCACTTCATTGATAGAGCAGCTTCCGGGCGTTTTCCTGCCAAGCTCAGCTTGTTGGCTGGTGGGAAGGTTGGGTTTTTATAAGGTTTTGAATAATGCAAATTAATGCACATTGGACAACATAATCCCAACGATATGTATAAAACGATGGGGTCTAAATTTGCTGTTCCCACTCAAGAAAGAGATCTTGGAGTCATTGTGGATAGTTTTTGGGGCAGGGGCAGTCAAAAAAGCAAACAGAATGTTGGGAATCATTAAGAAAGGGATAGATAATAAAACAGAAAATATCATATTGCCTCTATATAAATCCATGGTATGCCCATATCTTGAATACTGTGTGCCGATGTGGTCGCCCCATCTCTGAAAAGATATATTGGAATTGGAAAAGGTTCAGAAAAGGGCAACAAAAATGAGTAGGGGTATGGAACGGCTTCCATATGAGGAGAGATTGCGACTTTTCAGCTTCGAAAAGAGGCAACTAAGGGGGGATACAATTGAGGTCTATGAAATCATGACTGGGGTGGGGAAAGTAAATAAGGAAGTGCTATTTACTCCTTGGCATAACACAAGAACTAGGGGTCACCAAATGAAATTAATTGGCAGCAGGTTTAAAACAAACAAAAGGAAGTATTTCTTCACACCATGCATAGTCATCCTGTGGAACTCCTTGCCAGAGGATGTTGTGAAGGCCAAGACTATAACAAGGTTCAAGAAAGAATTAGATAAGTTCATGGAGGGTAGGTCCATCAATGGCTATTAGCCAGGATGGGCAGGGATAGTCTCCCTAGCCTCTGTTTGCCAGAAGCTGGGAATGCACAACAGGGGATGGATCACTTGATGATTCCCTGTTCTGTTCATTCCCTCTGGGGCACCTGGCATTGGCCACTGTCAGAAGACAGGACATTGGCTAGATGGACCTTTGGTCTGATCCAGTGTGGCCGCTCTTATGTTCTTACTTTGTTTTTCATGATGAGGCTGCAAACCTTTTGTAAATAATAGGGCTAAATGAGAAGGGGGCTCTGGGGGAAGCGGGTTTAGGCAGTTCAGCGGAGAACACAGGCACATCCCTTTTCCTCTGCGTCAGATCGAACGTGCTCTGCGATGTCAATGTGTGTGAACCTGAAATAGTTTTACAGTCCACCCTCAAAGTGTCAGGTTTTGTTTAGGTACTTGAAGGCCGTTTGGTCACATGCGTCGTGCTTCGTTTAGCCTGACGGGACGTGATGTCAACGCACTGGGGACTGCACGAGACGCGATCGATTTCCCGAATACCCTTTCTTTTATTCTGTTTCCACGCCCTTTTGTAGTGAGTTTTTTGTGTGGTTCGAGCAATGGTCGTTATAAGTAACCATGGGCACGAACGCTGGGGAGGGGGGACGGGGGCGGAGTGAGAGTCGCAGCCCGAGAGGCAGAGACTGAACCGGGGAAGGATGTTACTGCCTGACCCCGGCAATGCTGAGAAATACCGTCAGGACGGGGAGAGTGTGGGAGGTGGAATATACAGAGCTGGGGAGCCCGAGAACCAAGGCTGTTCTACGAGCAATGTCCTATGAGTGTCGGATGAGGACATCTCTGATTTCTATGTATGATGCCCCAAGGGAAGTTATGCAGGGGTGCGGGGGCGGGGGAGTATCCCGATTCCTGAGAGGAACAGGCTGAGAAGCCAACAGGCCTGAAGCCAGGCTGACCCCTATTACCGAAGCAGAGGGCAACGGAGCTGGTCACAGGTCACCCTCTCCCCATCTGCCGCAGCACCTGCGTGGGGGCAACGGAGACTCTCGTCCACGCTGGCCCCACACACACCAGGCATGTCCTGGGGTAAATAAAAGCCTCAGCTGGGATTGGAGATGCTGCCACTTCTGGACATAAGCCTTGTTCTCTAGCTCGGATTGAGTTGTGCTCGCTGGGTCTCTTGAAGCGTGTGTGGCTGTGACGGGATCCCGGCGTCTCTCAGGCATTCTCTCCCGTTTTCTATCAGCTGCAAAATATTGCTCTGTTTTGGTGTGTGCGAGAGCCAGGGGCAGCAATTTGCCGGGCTGGGGCTGAAACGCACCGTGCCAAGCTGGGCGTTGGGCGGGATGGCTTTTATTTCTTGCTTTGGAACAATAAAGTAGAATTCAGTTTCTCAGACTCCTAGAGTCCTTTGGTTGAACAATGAGTGAAAAAATGGCCCGGAATGGAGATGGAGGCTGGCCGGGGGGGGGGGGCCTTTCGGAGATGTTGTTTCCCCAAATTGAAATTGGGATACAAAGAAAGGTAAAATAAAAGCTTTGTTATCCGGCATGTTGCAGGAATGGGGGGTGCTGGTAAGTCAAAAAACTAAGAGGAAGGGAGTTTGGGTACAGGAGGGGCTCAGGGCTGGGGGTTGGGGTGTGGGAGAGGATGGGGGTGGGGCTCGTGGGAGGGAGTTTGGGTGCAGGAGGGGCTCGGGTTGGGTGCGGGGAGGATGG